TTGTGTGTTTGGAACCTTTTTTTAAGCTCTTAGGTCTTATGTGGAAATATGTGCCCCACATTGGGGAACCATTTGAAGTCAGACTTTTTTGTAGGGACTGTGGGCTCCCCAGTAATGACACAGAGACTTATTATTACGAAAGCTTGACTGATCGCTTAGGTCTGCTTCTAACTAGCTCTTATAACTTAAATTAACTTTCTGCCTCTGTCTTTTTACTTCATCTCCATGCTGCACATCCTGCTTGCTCTGTGTCTCCACCTTCTTCTTCCCAGCATTCTCTCTGCCCCAAAAAATCCTGTCTAGTTCTTGGCCATTCAGCTTTTTATTAAACCAATCTGAGTGACACATATTCACAGTGTACAAAAAGATTGTTTCACAACATCAGTTATTTTCTATTGCGATAAAATACCACAGCTAAGGAAACTTATAAAAGAAAGGGTTTGTTTGGGCTCAAAGGGTTGAATCCATCATGGCAGGAAACATGGCCCAGAGAGGCAACAGGAGCCACTGAGGGCTCACATCTCTTACCACAAGCAGGAAAAAGAGAGAAATGGCTTTAAACTCTCAAAGCCTGGCCCTGCCAGACACACGTCCTTCAGCAAGGCCACGCCTCCTCCATCTCCCTGATAGCACTATCAAGTGTATTTTCCCAAGACTATGGGACACATGTCATTCAAATCACCACACCAGACATGGTGTTCCAGTCCTGGCTATGTAGGGGCATTGAAAGGGAAAATACTTACAAAGGATGTTTCTAGTGAAAGATTTATACCAAAAACTATAATAAAGCTTGCCACCTGATAACTTATTATTTGTGTGTGTGTGTGTGTGTGTGTGTGTGTGTGCACTTGTGACAAGGTGTGCCTATGCAGGTCAGAGGTCAACTTGAAGGAGTTACTTCTTTCCTACCATGTGGGATCTGGGGATGGAATTCAGGTTCTCATGTGACAGCAGGTGCTTTTACCTGCTGAGTCACATCACACACACAAACAAAAATGTAATTTAAAACATCTTTATTCATTAAAAACCTACAGAATGAGTTGAATGTCAGGCTGGACAACTTAATGAAACTTGCTTCCAAAAACAAGTTTTTAAAAAAGGGCTGGGGATGTGGTTCAGTTTGCCCAGCGTATGTGAAGTCCTGGTTCACTTCCCGAGTGTCGTGATTACAAGTACATAGGTCACGTGGTGGTTTGAAATGTCCCACATAGTCTTGGTCCCTGGCTGATGGTTCTCTTTGAGATGCATCAGCAGTTGAGAGCACTTCCTGCTCTTTCAGAAGACCAACGTTTGTTTTCCAATTCCCTCACTGAGAAGCTCACAACCTCCAACAACCCCAACTCCAGAGAATCCGATGCCTTCCTCCAGCCTGGTCAGGTACCTGTATGCATATACACAAACACACAGATACATACACATAAATTAACAAAATAAATATTTTCCCAAAGTACGATGTAGCCAGTCATAGTGATTGTTATCTATAATTCCAGCACTTGAAAGACTTAACTTGGGGCAGCTTGAGCTATATAGTCCTGAGCTATCCTTAGCTACAAAGGTAGGCTGGAAGAAGTCTTCAGCTGTGCTGAACTTCTGAGATCAGCCTGAGCTACAGGAGATCCTGTCAGCAAATAACAAAGGTACTGTGCTACCCCAGTAAAGAGACCTAGACACCGGGTGGAGGTGGCACACGCCTTTATTCCCAGCACTCAGGAGGCAGAGCCAGGCAGATCTCTGTGAGTTCAAGGCCAGCCTGGTCTACAGAGCGAGATCCAGGACAGCCACCAAAGCTACACAGAGAAACCCTGTCTCAGGAGAGAGAGAGAGAGAGAGAGAGAGAG